CACACACACACACACACACACACACACACACACACACACACACACACACACACAACTTTGAAGTTTGTAAAAACAACAGTTTGACTTTAACAAAACTATTAAAAGTTTAAATATTTGATGAATAATGTGTTTGATACGTCCCAGAAACACTTTATAAAAAGCAACCAGAGTTAAAAAAAAAAGATTAAAGTTTCAAACTTTTTTGTTCTTAACAAATGGTCTTCTTCACCTTGTTGAAATGGCAACATCCACTCTCCATCGAAGTTCTTCCAGAGAGGGGAGGTGTGGGTCTTTCTGTGACGAAGCTGCTTCCAGAGCTGCACGACTAAAAAAAACAGGACAGGACAGAAGATTGGCACCTGAACTGTTCCTGTTCAATCATGATGCAGTGAAGTCAACATACCGGTTTCCAAAAACCACACTGGAGAAGTCTGTGATGAAGTCTTCAGGTATCCTAGAGTCAGAGGACAACAGAGATGTGTTTCAGTGTTTGGGAGAGAAACGGTCCATGTGGTGAACAGAAACACAGAGGATGTTCTTACTTCAGCTCTCTTAGATCTTCTTTAAAGGCCTAAACAGACACAAACAAAGGGTTAATTATAAGCACAGGCTTTTTAATTTTATGGTTTTACAAACCAGTACATGAGAATAAAAAATATGGGTTCTTTAGAAAGATCTAAAATAATTTAAAACTAAACTCAACTGAGCAAAAACACACAACAGATTCCACCGAGTCGTTATTTATTGACCAAAAAGGTGCTTCGACCATCCAGTTAAAGTTCAAACCTGATTCAAATGTTGTGGGAGCTTCAGAGAGCAGAAACAAACGTCTGCAAACATGAACGAACTGAAAAACTAAAGAGTGGGCCAAAATTCCTCCACAACCAACGAGAGAGACGGACAGTAATCGTTTCCATCCAATTTCATCCAATTTTAATTCAAATTTTGAGCGAATTTTAATAATTTCGCAAAAAGGAAAAAATTAAGAAATGCAAATCAGACGGAGTTTCCATCAACTGGCTTGAAGTGAATCAATTATGTCATACGCATGTGCATAGTAAACAGGAGGTAACAATCGCTAAACTCGCAGGGTCCACACATCTCAGGGTAATGGAGAGAGGTTATCAGGAACACGTTGCTACTATCAGGAAAGTTGTAATTATTCTGTTATCAGCTAGTTTTGGCGATGTTACTGCTGTCTGGAGACATAGAGAAAGAAATGAAATTTTCTTCACGTTACAGGATTACTGAGAAGACGCTGACAGCAGGAGGAGGGTTGATTTGATTTGATTTATTGATTTAACAGGAAAAGATTATTAAAAATCAAGCCTGACTCAGCATAATTGCTGTTTTACAGCAGGTTCCTGTTCTGCAGCACATAAAACACTCAGAAATACAGCATCACAATCACATCATTATACACCATAGACACAAAGACAAACAAGCATACCACTTAAGTACAGTACTCAAGTAAATGT